GTATTTTCTAAGGAGCTATTTTTGTTTTCGAAACCAGAAGCTTACTGGATCTCAAAAATCCTTTGCAAATAATACCCCCTAATTCATCAAAGTTAACAACAAATACTTTAAGCCTTTTAAAGCTATGATTTCAATTAAATCTGTTTTTAGGTGAGTTTAGTAAATCTATATGGTATGTAATGAAGCTCTTAAACCAGAAAAGGGTCATTTATGAATGACTGTGATATTTCAAAATGCTACCAACTTGAAGACACCCCTGCTCTCCTTCTTGTCTTTTCCAGACGAGCTGACATGAAATCACAGAATGTTAGTGCTAGCAGGAGCCATAGAGAACATTAGCTGACGCCTGTCCTATGCCTAGCCTAGAAATTGGTAAACAAAAAGAATCTTCTTTTTCCTCTCTTCCACAGAATCCCAGCCCAGGATTATTTGCTGTAATGCATCCTCTGACCTACGCGGAAACTTCGATAGATTACCATCTATGCTCTCACCCCAAGTACAAGTTCACCAAAGAGTTCCACAGTGGGTCCAGCATTCCTCTCACCCAAAAGCAGTTTCTGCATCACACGGTAATGTCATCATTAGGCTCTCTGGCAGAGCTGGCTGGCGGCCGTGGGCTGCAGGGAGGGGCAGGGGACAAAGACAGGGTCATGGCTGGACAAAGAAGGTTTTTCAGCCACAGCTTCAGAACAAGAATGGCAAAGACAACCTTTGTACCCCTAGCCCTAAAAGGGTACCGGGGAGACTCCACACTGCCCTGTCCTGACCACACCCACCTCTCAGGCTGCCTGCTGCCCTTTTATCAGATTCTCGCTCTTGCTTCCCCTTGAAGGCTATGCCCAATGTTCATATTTCAACCCTGTGCAAAAATGGTCACATGGTATGTGTAACCCCTTCGTCTGACCTCCTCTTACTGTGTCCAAACAAGTGTAAAAACATCAGAATGGGCACAGTGGTAACAGAACACAGGCACAGTAAACGGCTCCAAAGAACTCCTCCCCCAGGTGACCAGCCTGACCTGAACATTCCATAACACCCCTCAAGGATTACCCACAGGCCCTTCCACCTCCATCAATCCCTAAGTCAGCTCTCCCCACTTCTACTCCACACCCCAAAGGGCCTCCTCTTCCTATGTCAGCATCTCGCCTTTGTGTTCTGCGGACTAGTGAGTTACCCAGGGATCCTTGATCCCTCCCTCTCCCTCACTTGCCACTTCTAACCACCATTGGATGCCATCCTCTGCCTCAGTCTCTTCCATGGCCCAATGCCGCATGTATGTCTAAATCTTCCTTAGACATACATCTGATTGTTTCATTTCCTGCTCAAAAGCTCTCAGTGGGTCCTGCTGCCTGTGGGAGCAGCTGCAGCTTGACCCAAAAGGCCCTGGGACCTGCCTGCCTCTTCTGCTTCATTCCCACCAACCCCAGCACACTCTGCACTCAGGCAGCGGAGCTGGTGGCCTCCGGGCAGCACTCTTTCCGCATGGTGCACACACGGTCCCCCTGCAACAAGCACTATTCATGCTATTTATGAGCTCCCTGAGTGTTGCATTAGCTTCACATGAATCACAACAGTCCACATCTGCCCTCCATCCTGAGGACCTATTGCTGTGTACCTAATGAAGCCAAGGCGTTAGGCCGTAACCTCGCCTTCCTCTTTAGATCCATGTTGTGATGTTTCATGCCCTTTGCCTCAGAAAAATCCAATCAAACTTAGACTACGAACATAGGAGCTTTTACTCTGGCGTCTCAGCTTATAGCAACCTCAGACTCTTGGGCTTAAGTAATTTTCTTGCCTCAGCCTCCCAAGTAGCTGGAACTACAGGTTCAGGTCACAACGCCTGGCTATTTTTTGTTGCAGTTGTCATTGTTGTTTGGGGGCCCAGGCTGGGTTCAAACCCTCCAGCCTTGGTGTATGTGGCTGGTGCCATAACCACTGTGCTACGGATGCCGAGCCAGAAGCTAACTTTTTAAGACTGAAAAAGAGTCAGTTGAATGAAATGCAAGTCCTTTCTAGACTTTACCTCACCAAACAGTTCGTTTCCATGCAGCGGCCCCGTGCCGGCTTTCCTTACAGGACATCATTCCTGGAGTAATGCGCTGGAAGAAGTTCCACTCCCAGGTGTTCTCCTCCCTGCCCGACTCCACCAAGATAGAGAGCACACAGAGGTAAGCACGGTTCACCTCACTGTCTCACCAGGCTTGTGTGCCCCACGGATGACAGAGGCAACGATGCTCAAAAGGTAAATGCCAAGAATATGCCAAACTGTATTTTTTTATTATTTAGTTTTCATTTCATACCATAAACTTAACTCTGCAATCCAGCTGGACATGGAGGGAAATAAGGAACACAGGGACCCAAAGACCTGCAGCGAGAACAGAGAGAGCAGATGGGTGGGGAGAGCTCTCCTGGCTACAGATGGATGGTCTGGCGGTTAAGACGAAACGTTATGTCAGATTTGTTACAGTTGTCACAGTCAGTGGGGTGATCTTCTTGCTGGTCTTGCCATTCTCTACCCAAAGCGGTCCATAGCTTCTGCAACACTCGTGCCCTCTTTCACCCTGCCAAAGACCACGGGCTTGCCACCCAACCACTCAGTCTTAGCTGTGCAGGTGAAAAACTGGGAGCCATTTGTGTTGGGTCCAGCATTTGCCATGAACAAGGTGCCAGGAACTGTATGCTTCAGAATAAAGTTCTCATCAAATTTCTCCCCATAGATAGACTTGCCACCAGGGCCATTATGGCATGTGAAGTCACCACCCTGGCACACCAGCCCTAGAATAATTCTGTGAAAGCAGGAACCCTTGGAACCAAATCCTTTCTCTCCAGTACTCAGAGCACATAAGTTTTCTGTTGTCAGGCAGGGCATGGTGGCTCACACCTGTAATACCAGCACTCTGGGAGGTCAAGGCGGGAGGATTACTTAAATTCATGAGTTCAAGACCAGCCTGAGTGAGAGCAAGATCCCATCTCTAAAAATAGCCTGGCATTGGGCAGCGCCTGTGGCTCAGTGAGTAGGGCGCTGGCCCCATATACCGAGGGTGGCGGGTTCAAACTTGGCCCTGGCCAAACTACAACAACAACAGCAACAACAACAACAACAAAAAAAATAGCTGGGCATTGTGGCGAGCGCCTGTAGTCCCAGCTACTTGGAAGGCTGAGGCAGGAGACTCACTTGAGCCCAGGAGTTGGAGGTTGCTGTAGGCTGTGTGATGCCTCAGCACTCTACCAAGGGCGATAAAGTGAGACTCTATCTCTTAAAACAAACAAACAAAAAATAGCCTGGCATTGTGGCAGGCACCTGTAGTCCCAGCTACTCCAGAGGCTGAGTCAGGAAGATCGCTTGAGCCCAACAGTTTGAAGTTGCTGTGAGCTATGATGCCATAGTACTCTATAGGGGGCAAGAAAGTGAGACTGTTTCAAAAAAAAAAGTTTTCTGCTGTCTTTGGAACTTTGTCTGCAAACAGCTCAAGGGAAACGTGGCCCATGGGGTTGCCAGTGGCAGTGATACTGAAGAATACAGGGGGGTTGGGGCTGACCACAGTTGGTATCAGGCAACAATGGCAAAGGCTTTTTTGGGTTTTTTTTCTGAGACAGAGTCTTGCTCTGTCCCTTAGACTAAAGTGCAGTGGTGTCATCACAGCTTACTACAACCTGCAACTCCTGCATTTTTCTATTTTTTTGTAGAGACGGTGTCTTGCTCTTGCTCAGGCTGGTTTCAAACTCCTGAGCTCAGGTGATCCTTCCACTCAGCCTCCCAGGGTGCTAGGATTACAGGTTGAGCCACCACCTCCAGTCAAACCATACTTTTTTTTTTTTTTTTTTGAGACGGAGCCTCAAGCTATCCCCCTGGGTAGAGTGCCATGGCATCACGCTCACAGCAACCTCCAACTCCTGG